TTGGAGCCACACACAAAATTAAAGTGAAATGTTCCCTTTATTTTTTTGAGCAGTATACAAGTATTCATATAAATAATTATAAAAGTATCAATAAATTGAATAAAACATAATTTTTATATATTTTCCAACTCCATTGAAATTTGTCCCTAGTTTTTGTCAACACCGTCAGACATGAAAAGAATGTAAAAAAAAAAATCAGGCATTATTGGGGGGCACCAGAACTTCCGAGGACCTCATGACATCGTCTTTTCTCTTCCTTTGCTAAGAGGGCTAGTTAGCTCTGGTTAGCTTATGTTATTATTTAGTTTTTTTTTTCTTTTTATTCCTAAGTTGCTTGTCACAACCATGATGTGTCATCACCAAAACTGACAATTTACAAAAGTTTGATGAAATTTTGTGAAATAAAAGCTTAATTTTGGTAAACTGTAAAGATTTCATGGACCTGATGAGCTACAATATGGCCTCCTTCAGAGTAACATCATATAAATTAAGGTAGTTTGGCTTTTTGTCAACTCCGTCAGAGTTTTTGTGAATCTTTCAGTGAAATTGTTGTCAAATCTCACTTAAATGTGCAATTAATTCATTTTAATGTATTTTGCATAAATTGCATTACTTCACATGTATCAAGTTTTTCATTTTACTGACTAGTTTGTCACCATCTTCAGCTTTGCGTCAACTCCGTCATGCACCGTCAACTCCGTCAGATGGACTTTTTGCTGTTTTTTGTTTTAAATATTTCTTTTGTTTCTTGACAAGCATTTGTCTGTAAAACTGAGTAAAAATATCACTAATAGGGTCATTAAAAATGATTTTTTATTTATTTTTGTCAGATGCTGATGACAACGTTCTAGGTCAGGTCGATTAAAAATATATATTTTTTTTAAAAATGTTGCAACTGGGAGCCTGCACCTTAGCATCTTTACATTTCCAAAACATTATTTATCATATTTCAATACATATGCTTGAGAAATAATTAAAAAAAATTTTGGGGGGGGATTTAAACCCATGTTGTCACACTTCTCAAGAATCACTATGCGCCGTTCAAGGTCGTTTTGATCCTTCACAAATCTCTGCTTCCTTTTTCTCACTGAATCATATCTACTCACATTCTCAACTTAGGTCCGCAGTTTCTGCATCACCGCTTTAATTCGTCCACAATTTTCCTTTTCTGTGGCTTTCTGTCAGAGTCTCTCAGGGCTCATAGGAAGTGTGTCAGGACTTTGCAGCTGCGACCTCTGAGATCTCGATCATAGACGGATTTAGTGATGACCTGTCAAATCCACACAAAACTTCTGCCACTTGTTCATTCACCTCGACTTAAACTGCAGGAATTTAGCTGCCAGAGCAGGTTTTTAGTCTGTGACGAATACACTCTGACGGTAAAAAGGTCATTCATTGAAGTTTAACATATTTTTACATGCTGAAGGGTTCCCTGCTGCAGCATTGTTTCTGCTCAACTGTATCGAATGTTACAAATAAAAGAAGTCAGCAGCTATTGACAGAAAAGCGTCTGACATGGTTGATTGGCTGAGTGGGTGGCTGCAGGCGCTTCCAGCCAAGACTGCATCAGAACACAAATTATTACAAAAACACATTGTGATGCTCAGTCGTCCTAATCAAATCGTGTTTGAAGTTAGAAAGAAGCTTTTATTTGATTATTTTTGAGAATCAACAGAGCCAAACAGGTTTGAACTTGATGGTTTTTTCTGTTCTAAAATGAACAGGCTGATTTTTTTTTTACCTTCAGCTAGAAGCTTTCCGTCCTTCGCACATTTCTCCTTCTTTTGTCTCACAGGAGCTTTTAGTGCGCTTTTGGAGTTCGAGAACAGTCACAACACAGCTCCAGGTTGGCTGGCTGAGCGTCTGTGATTTATGTTGGAGGGCTCGCACTGGGAACACTTGGGAGACAGACAGAAAGTGCTAGAGAAAGAAACAGAAAAAAGAGAAAAAGGTGGAAGCAGAATGAAAAGGCGAGCTGGTGTTTGGCTGAGCAGCGAGGAGATATTCACCGCAGTGTGTTCCCCTGCCATCCGTGGAGGCCTGGTCTTTATCGGCTCCCTCTGTGGGCAGGCAGGAACAAGCTGTAGGGGGAGAGAATGCAGACAGTGTTATGTGGAACGACTTGGAAATGGAAGCCACCAGAAAGACCAGAAAATTCAAGGAAAAACTAAAAAGAAAATGTTGATCTTAAAACAAAACCTTTCTTTCCTTCTGTTCTTTGCAGAGACAACTCCTGACTGCTCTAGAGTTTATCTTCTGCTGAGAGAATCAACACAATCTCTGCTTTTCAGAAGGAAAACAGTGTAATTTAGATTTACTATGATGAGCACTCAGAGTGTCCTTCGCCAAGGCTATTAAGCTTTAATAGAAATGATGCACGCTCCCTTTTATTTGGCTATTTCCCGGCCACTCCTCCACGTCTCTTCCAAATGTGATTAAATTTGGCCTTGTACATAGGAAAATACTCAGGAGGAAAGAAATCTATGACAAGGTTGTTGCTAGCTGCTGTGAATGACTTCCTTTTCTCCTAGAAGTCCTCTTCGAGAAACTGCTGCTGCAACTACGGCTTTATGTAGTCAAATAACCCTTGAATTTCTTGTGGATTTTCTCATCTCACCACAGGAATACTAGGGTAAATGTTCTTACACACTTTGACCTTGACAGTCCACTTAGTCTGTTCATCATCAAACTTGTGGTATTTAGGAGCTCAGCTGATTGAGTTTGTCCACATGTGTTGGGTTCCTGGAATGGCACAAGTAACCAAACAGGTTATTGGATGTTTAAAAAAAGCTTGTCAAGAAACACTGGATGCTTTAGGGCTTGACTAAAATCTGCCTTCCTACGCAATTCCGCTAGATTCTCATCTCCTTTCAGTGCTCCATCCAACTAAACTCAATTTCTCAGGATGTATTTCATCCTGGCCAATCAGCGAACAGAAGAAGTTGTGAACAATGACATTGATTTTCTGCTCTGTTTCAGAACTGTAATTTGTGTATGGTTTATGGAGGATTCGAAGTAATGCTTTCAAACCCATAAAACTGTCCGACCAAGTGCATAAAAATGAAAAAGACACACATGTCCATGCTAAGTCAAACCATGATGATGTCATTGAAGGTCAGTTTGGTACGCTACTCCATGGTCCATACCAAACCACCTGAAGCTCTCCTGAAGTGTTTCAACCGGCAGTTTGACTCTCATTGGGCAGCCAGAGTGAAACCCAAACACCCAACATGGTATCACACTAGTCTGATGACAAACACATTTCTATGCTTGTTGCTAGCAGTGATGTTTTTCCTTCCTCAATCAATGAACTGTTGTGTGATGTCAGTCCAGCCTAGCCATACCGTTGTCCGGATTGGACATATGGATCACTTTGAAAATGGAAACAGATGAAATTGAGCACCATACTGTACCAAGCTGAGTCAATGCATATCAGTATATGTAGCATCACAATAACACAATATGGTAGCTCTTATGGTTTCATTCATAAGAGATTCAAGTTCTGATGTTTTTATGTATTGACTGATATTACCCTTATCAGTCAATACATAAGTCATGAAGCACAATGTCAAAGCTAAGAACTATCTGTAAGTGTACAGCCAACTTACAAAATTATTTTACTTCCCAAATTTAACAAGGTATTAAGATCCAAAAACACATCCTCAGTCTGCTTCATCCTCTTCATTCTCTTTTATCGTCTTATTCTTTGTATGGGTTTGAGTCACAGTGGGAGGAGGAAATCAGTTTGTTTGGGAGATAATTACCTGGACCTCAGTGGTCTGATCAGTAAGCCTGCTTAAAGAGGATATAGCCTCCTCGTCTCCTTCCCCAGAATTAGCGGTGTTGTATAGATTGCAGATATGCTAACGTGCGTGTCGTTGTGTGCTCTGATAAACCCGCTGCTGTTATCCGTGGTTTCCTGTCGCAACAAACTGAATGAAATAATGCACCCACATAATCCCCTCCATTGTCCAAAATGCATAAGTGTATCTTGCTAGTTAGGTTTGTCTCCTTTCTGTTTCTGCTCATCTTTGTTGTTTCTTATTCCATTTGCTGGATCTTCCTCTGTCCCTTTCACCTTCATCTCTGCCTTTTTAGTCGTTTCATCTTTTTGTTTCATCACACTGTCCATTTTCTTCTCTGTCCTCCACTCGTTTCCTTTCCATCATCTTATCTTTTCTGTTATTTCATCTTCTTATGTCTTTTTATACATTCCCTTAGTTCTGTGCTTTTCCTCCCCAATGTTTCTCTTTTCTGTTTAGTCTTCTTTCCTCTCCATTTATTTTCTGAAACCGACCTTATTTCCCCTTCTCCTCCCTCATTTCCCACCTCTTGTCCAGTTTCATTTCCTTGTCTTCTCTATTCTTCACCATCCTCTCCTCCCTTGTTTCACCCTTCTGCATTGTCTTGTTTCCTCATTTTCTCCAAATCACCATCTCATTGTTTCCTTTTGTTTTCCCACTAACATCCACCCTTCCATCCCAGCTGTGGTTTGTGCTGCCTTCTCATTCACGTCTTGGCATGCTTCCCACGTATTCAATTACTTTGGACTTTATAACATGACAAAAATTCCAACATTGAAGGGCGAACTTATTCACCATAACAAAATCCAATGGTAACTTTCCAAGGCAACAGAGTTTTCCCCAATTTTCATTTTGTTTCTAGAAGCTTCTCTGTGATACTATTGATTTCTGACGTAAAGGCAGCGGGCTTCTCTTGACACATTGATCAGCAGTTACTTAAAATGTGCTTTATAGGCCAGTAAGAATCACATTATATGGTATTAGTCATAACATTTTCATACATATAATGGACTGCTGGTATTAGGGATGACAACTAGCAAAAAGCTAAAATCCAAAAATACTTCATATTCTTCAAGAGACACTTAGAACTGCCTGTTCTAATAGTTCAAACACCAAATATACCTCAACATATAAATATTTCTAAAGTCTTGTGGAAAAGTTCAGGATTTTGAATCATTAGCTGTGTTTCCATTACAAATGGGCACAAATCTTTGCTCAAGTTGAAATTTCACAATTGTGATATTTCCATTAAATAAGACACTAATTTATTGAAAATAAGTTCCTTCCTATCATCTTAAATAAGAAACGGAATTTAAAACACACGTGAATAAGCTTGTTCACCTGAGGAGTCAATAAAAACAATGACTGCCACAGATGTAAACACTTGCATGATATACATTCATAATTCAGTCATGGTGCTAGCGCTCATCCATCAGCCATCAGAGGAGACGTCATTGGAGCAACAAGCCCCTCCTACTAGGGAGCAGCTACATATACAGCATTTTGGGAAAATTGTACTCTGTGATTTTACAGAAGATTTATGGATTCAACATGTTGGAATGACACAACTTTTATGAACCATGATGCTGTGAGAGCTCTGGTGGATCCAACTGAACATTGTCATAAAAAATAACAACAAACTCCCCCTCCTACCACTTTTTGTCGTATTCTTCGTGGTTTTTGCCAGTAGTCACACTCGGTTGTTGATCACGTGACTCGTGATTCAAAATGTTTCCACCGGAGTTTTGCAACATACTTCTACTTTGATGCATCTAAAAACCCACCTCATCCTGGCACAAAAAAACGTTTAATCAAAAAATTTGGGATAATGACATTTTTTTCCAAATGTTTCCAATAGTCAAGTCAAATCAAGTGTACTTTATTGTCAAAAATCTATGTAAGGGTTAACACAGGAGTTTGAAATTGTTTCACCAGACTCCAATGTGCAGTTAAACTAAACATATAAATATATAAATGAATTTATTTACGCAATTTAAATTTACGCCATTCTATGGTTAAATGCAGCTGCAGATTTCTTAATGTGCAACTCATGCAACATTGATTCAGAGCAAAAATGTTATATGTCTTTATTTTTGGTCATTTTGATGATCATGGCTTGGAGATCCTGAAAAGCCACAATTCAAGCCAGTGCAGGACAGCCAAGCTTATTAGTTGAAAGTTTGAGCGGTTGTCAGCATGAGCAGCTCCAGCTCCAGAGCCGGGCTGGAGGTGACCCAGGCCCAGAGTGCTGCTTTATTCATCCCAACCCAGAGCTGCGACACACACAGATGACCTTGGAATGAATTATTCGGCTTTTCCTATCTTCGCATTGAGGCCTTCATTTGTGAACTGGGACTTTTAGTGAAACCACCAAAGCACTGAGACTCACATTCTAACATTAATAACGTTAAGATTTATTCAAAGTCAAAGGCAAAAGCATCCCCAGTGAAACAGAGGAATCTTTGCTGACATGGACCCAGCTTTTACTCTTTGAGATTTGCAGAGGTTTTCAG